AAAAAAAAAAAGAGGATAATTTCTGTTTTTGTTCATACTTACCAGTTTTCTTCTTTGTGGGCCTGAAATGCCCGCAGGAATGATGTATTATATTAAGGCATGACACATAAAATTCAAATAATGCTACAAATAATAATAATAAAGAAGAATTCTAAACTTTAAGGGGAATAGTTCACCATTTAGAAAATTATGTGAACTCACAGAAGTTCTTGAGGGAAAAAAAAATGTATAAACCCACTTACAAATATCCGAGTATCATAAGGTACAAGTATACCAAATATATTTATTTCATACATACTTTCTCCAAAGTAAGAAAAAGACTATTGTTACAATTTTTTTTTAAGAGAAAGAAGGGAGAGAAGAGAGAAACATGGATCAGCTGCCTCCTGCATGCCCCTACTGGGGACTGAGCCTGCAACACGGGCAGTCAAAGCTCTCAGTGCATGTGAGGACACAACCAACTGAGCAGCACCAGCCAGGCCATAGACTTTTTAAAACTGGCAATCACACACACTTTATTTGGTTTATCTGAGCCCAGATGATCACAAATTACATGTAATGGGCTGTAGAATCTATAATATAAAGTTTAACTCATTGATTATAGAATTCCTGAATTCAAAGGAGACCTACTAGTTAGCAACTAACTCTCTTCTGTGTATATTTAAACAAGATGGTTAAAAAAATAAGCAAACTGTGCCCAGAGATACATATAAATACTAGGACACTCATTGACTAGGGACTTAGCTATGAGCTATCACTTAAATTATTTAAATCAGAAATTAGCTTAAGTTCTTTATTGACCACAATTAAATGACGATGTGTGCTGAGTCCACTCCTGTCCATCTCTGCCTGGATTTTGGAGTTCTGATATTCCACCAAGGGATGGAACCAGTCCCTATACCTACACTTAATGCTTTAGAGGCAACCAAATATTATTCTTCACAATAGAATTTTAAAAAATCCTTAATTATAACCAAATCCTTACTATATAAAGCTAACTAGATGATAGGTTTAAGATCCATGCTAAATTTAAGTACCTAAGTGAAATAGGTAAATCAGTTTCTCTTCCAAAAGATTTTAATTCCTTCCTAATTACAGGGATAAATAAAATTAGCCCAAGGTCTCAAAAACCTTAAACCCCAAATAACCCACTGTATTTGTTATAAATTGAATAGTTAACAAATGACAAAAGATATTGGACGATGACAGTCTGGCATTTGTATGCTTCTATGAAGTCATGGTTCCCCACCGCGTAAGTGCACCTGGAAAAGAAATGTAGGAGACTAAGAACTGAGGCAGCAGAAAGTGCATTTATAGGATGAAAACCTAGAAGTCAACTAGGTAGACCACACATCTTCCATCATAAACACCCTAGTTCTCAACTGATCCTGGAGTGAAAGCTGGACCTCCTGCTTGGCAGGCTTCATAAGCTGAAGAAACACACAAGTAACTACTTGAAGTAAAATGGGTTGGTATGTTACGAAATCCCACATTAAATTTTGAGACTATTCTTCCAAGTCCCAGAAGGAGAACCTAGTTGCCAGCAGGTTTATTAGTAACATGCACTGATAATACAGTATGGCACTTCAATAAGTGATGACCCACTAACTAGATGCCCAGCTAGGAAGAGTCAGTTCATCAACAAATCTGGAATCCCATGGCACGCTGCAAAGAGCTAGAAAATCACAGGGTACCTTATACTACAAAGAACACAGTGGCACCCCAACTTCCCAAAGATCTCACAGGGCTACCCCACTTTGCCCCCCAACCCCAGCCTGCTCTGAAACATGGGAAGCATTGCAGGCAGTGAGGCAATCAAACACCACGTGTTTTAAAGACATAAACCTTTGCCTGAATTAATGGTTTAGAGATAAACAAAGATGAAATGAAATGAAAACAAAAAGCAATATTTCATTTGCTTTGCTCAACTACAGTTTCTTTCCCAGTAAGGCAAAGAGGTTAAAAACCAGGCATATTCCCTGAAAAATACAAGTGGGCTCTACACCCTACTAAACAAAAGACCAGTATATAGTCAATATAATAAATATCAAGTGATCTTTTAAACAGTATCACACAGTATACATATAAAGATACATAATCACAATATGATTTTAACTTGAAAATATGCATGATCCTTGAGATGAAAAAAAGTTTATTAAAATTTTAGAGTTTTTTAAACATCATAAAATTTCCACAGGCTTTACCAAAGTGAAATTGCAAACATGCTTTTCTACTGTTTCAAATTAATTATTCACTGCTTCAAGCATTAGATGATGTTAAATAAAATCTCTAGTAAATTCAGCAATTCCAAGATCTGCTTGTTTTACTTCCGTACCTTAAATGAGCTGCAAACATTTCGTCATAAGGGGGTTCCAAAACTTGTTGACACTTCTCTTCTGGAGAGGCCAACTAAATTAAATAAGAAAAAGGGCAAAAATAAAATTAACAGGCAGAGAAAGAACATTGTGTACAGATTTAAACAAATCTGTTGCAAAAGAATTTACACTTTATAATTAACAGTAACACTTTACTACTTCTAAATAAAAGGTTCACTGTTTCAACAAGTATTTATCAAGCATGAGCTATGTATATAGAACACTAGATTAATACAATGTTTTCTCTACTACAGGTTAAGAAATAATCTAGGAACTTTCATATGTATCTTAATATTTCTTGCCAGTTAGTGAAGAAATATTTAGTAAGCAGCTACTATATGCTTAATAAATAAGGCATAATAAATAAGGTGTATAAAACCTTACATAAATAAGGTCTAATGCGTTAGAGAAGATGCCATGTTAGGAATAACTCCTTCTCAGCTTCCTGGTGATACAACCACCCTCTCTCTGTACTGGTCTAGGCTAGTTGACATTTACTTCTAACTCTTCCTTTCTTCTCAACAGCCAAATTTTAGATAATATAAGCATTAGAATGGATTATAAAGCGCACGGAATTTTTTAAAAAAGGAAAGGAACCAATGATTCTACTCTTATACTGATACAATATATATGTAAAAAACGTGGGGAGGGAGGGAAATGACAACATCAGAAAAATCACCATTCTACAGTCCCTAATGAAACAATGATTTGGACAATGGCCACCAGTGAATGGAATAATAAGATGGAAGGTTAATGGGGAATTTTGTATTGAAGAAATCAGCCTTCAATTACAAATGGGTAAACAGATGTGTGTGCCCCTGATGTGCAATACGAAGCACACAGCACCAGCTATGGAGTATCTACCCGGCAAGTTGAACCTGAATCTCATCAAGTCTCTGGCATTAATTTCTATTTAGAGCAAAGGTGTTCAATGTGTTCTGCACATCAGAACAACCTAGGGAACTTTAAATTTAAAACAAACAAACAAAAACACCTGCTTCTACTCTAGAAACTGGTTTACATAGTCTAAGGTGCAGCCTACATGCAGCCAAATATAATCACCAATAGATAAGCTCCAACTCTAAACTTGTCTTAGGAAGTCAGTTACCTTATAGCCCTCTCTCTGTACTTAGTCCTCAGACCTACCTGAAGCCGTGGGTTGGCAACATGAGGATGCTTGAAAGACACCAGCTCCGCACAGGACTCCCCATCTCTGGTGTCAATTGCTTCATAGACCTGAAGCAATTGAGAAGAGAAAAGCTAAGTAGAAAATAAAATACTCTATTCTAATAGAACCTAAACAACACATGGCATACCACTAAAATCCATTTTCCATATTTTGAAAGGAGTCAGCATAATCAAAATATAACAAGTCAGTATTCTCTTTAGCCAGCAAACAATAACTACATTTCAAATGAGATCTCCTGAAGGCAAATAAACAGTGACTTCCTGTTAAAAACCATGAAAAAGCAGAATAAGCCAGTGTGTTATTTTATTACAATGAAGGTACATTATTCTAGCTTTACTCAGACATACCAGCAGACATTTGAAAATTCACTTTCACAGTTTATGGGGAAAAAGAGCTCATAAACTACATATTTAAAAATTCAAGAGGCTTCCATGCAACCTAAATATAAAGTAGAAATTGCAATAGCAATGGCTAAATGAATGGTGTCAAGAATCATACAACAGGTACCTTTATGCAGTAAAAAAGAATGAAATAAATCTACATGTAATGACATGGGAAAGTGTCCACAATATGCTTACTGTTATGCAAAAGAAAAAAAAGTTAGTCGCAGGAAAACTGCATAACTTCATCTGGGAGAAAAAGAAAAAAGTATGTATGACATGTAAGCACAGGAAGAAATACAGGGCACCAGGCACACCAGCTGACCCTTTAGCCAGTACAGTGCAGGCCGAGGAGACTTTTATTTTATATATTTCTATACTGGAAGACTGTTATAGCAGAATTTATAATTAGAAAAGCAAATGATATTTTTAAATTATATTCACCAAAAATGACATTAAAAATTCCAACTATGTGAGGAGAAAGCCAAACATAAAACTGCATATATATAGTATAATTTATCTACAACAAAATTAAATATATAAATTTTATGCCGACACAAAGGATGTCATAAACAGAATATCTAAATGGTACACACCCAAGAAGTTGCTCACATCTGACGCACCAGTGAAATGCAAGATACTCCTACATGCCCAGAGAAGAGTTAAAATGGAAAAGGCTGACCATACTAAGTGCTCCAAAAATATAAAGCAACTTAAAACTCTCACATATTGCTGGGGGAGGGTGAAGTAGCATCCTCTTTGGGACACTGTTTGATATGCTTACTAAAGAGAACATACACCTACTCCCCCACCTAGTAATCCTATGCCCAGGCACCCGCAACCAGAAAACATGGAGGCAAAAGCCACCAGGACACAAAAGGGACCCAACTTCTCATCTGTTGTACCACTCAAAGATTGACTGGGAACATTTACAACACCTTACCTAATAAAGAATTTGCCACTTGACTATTCAACAAAACTACATAAGCATTTACATTTTGAGCCAGCAATTCTACTTCTAAGGATTTACCTTACAACAAGATACAAAAGATATTTGTGCAGGGTTACTTGATGTATTCTGAGTAATCACAAAATACTGGTCCTATCAGTATTTTGGAAGGAAGGCTGATAAAGGCTGCCAAAGTTCCTGTCATGGGTGTAAGGGTGGATGTGTGTGGATGCGTGTGTGTGCACACGCACACACAGGAAGCCAGAAGGATGGTGACAGGCTATCTTAATGAACTGATCTGTTCCTCAGTGGACATTGAGATCACAGGCAACCTTGTCGCTTTTAGTCACTGTTTATGTCATGTCCCAGAAGCTTTGGTCTTTTAATTTAAACACCTCCTACTGGACCATGCAGCTGGACTCCAGGTGAGCCCTTCAGCAGCACCCCTGTGGGCCTGAATTACGGACTGCAGAGCTCACCAGGCGAAACTCTCTGGCCCTGGGCACTCCTAGGAACAAGTTCTCTTTCTTGGCTGCTGCTCGTCACCTCAAAAACTCCAGGCTCCAAGCTGGTCAACAGAGGAATCATCTACTCTAGGAACTCACAGTTCCTCAAAAATATATTTACTAGCTCTGGTCTCTAAAAAGGCCTAGAAGTAATGACTTCCAGCAGCAATAAGCACATCTAACACTCAGGCTGGTTTTCTAAATCCCATTCTCCACTAAAAGGAACCAGAAGTCCCTGGAGAAATAGCTGACCCAGTGCTAGGACAGGGACAGAACTAAGTGAGAGTAGAATAGATATTATTGTGCCAGAAAGCAAAGCAGGGTTCAAAGAAGGGTGAAGACATATCAAAAAGCCATAGAAACCAGTGGCCAAATATGGAATATGAGCTTTAAAAAGAATAATAATATTCTTAATATTGGTAGTGGATTATAACTTGGCATTAAAAGTAATCCATAATGAGTGCAGCCAGCATGGCTCAGAGATTGAGCATTGACCTAGGATCCAGGAGATGGAGGTTTGATTCCAGTCAGGGCACATGCCCCGGTTTAGGGCTCGATCCCCAGCAGTGGGCATGCAGAAGGCAGCCCATCATTGATGTTTCTCTCTCTCTCCCTCTCCCCTCCTCTCTGAAATCAATAAAAATAAATATTTTTTTTAAATAATCCATAATGATACTTTTTAAAAGAAGGGCATAGGGGAAAGCGTTCTTTAACTGATGAAATACTAACAAATGTAGAAAGAATGATAGAATATCATCACTTGGCAAACACTAATGTAATAACTGACTTGGAAAAGGTCCACAAATGAAAGCTAAAACCATTTTGTGAAAAAGTCCAGAGGTACAGAATGCTCTCAGGTTCTCCTAGTCCATCCAACAGATTACAAATAGCAAGGGAAAAGGTACCTCGACACTGGAGTGATCTGATGGACATCAAGTGAATCAGTATCACCAACGTGTGCCTCCTGAGGTGGGGCTATGGGAAATTCACACTATCAAACTTAACCTGAATTTAATCATCAGGAAAACAGTCAAAGGCAGATAGATTGTGAGACATCTATAAGTCAACTGCCCAGGACATTTCAAAAAAGGTTAAATCATAAAAGGCCCCTCCAAAAAGAAATACTAGAAATGTCAAGACCCGCAAACTGATTTTTTTCTAAGTAGAACAATTTCAAAAAGTAGACTATATGGGAAAATGCAAGATAAATTAATTCAACCTGTCCCCTCCAAACAGAAACTTGAATGCCTGTTGAAACTCTGAGCACTAAAAAAAAGGGGCCTCAATAGATAAGGGGACATCTTAATCACAGACAGCCATCCTTGGGCCTCTCAAGATGGATGTGCTGGCACCACAACACCCTGATTACTGGCCCTTGTACTTGGGCTGCTACTCAGGGCTGTTTAAATGGCAAGTCACCTTGAGAAATAAAGTAATGTGTCCCCTGCATCCCCAACCCTGAACAAAAGCAGACTAGCTTAACGCCTGCTATAAAATGGGTGGATTCCCAAATGCAGTGCTTTTTTCTTCACACATGTGCAGGCAGGTACCCTTCTGGGCCCATCACATCACCTGCGGGATTTGGTGTCCAGAGAAACTGGTACCAACATGCTAATGCCGCTCTGCTTGCTGTACTGAGTAGTAAGGTCCTTGGTCTCTAACCCAGGAACCGCGCGTGCTCTGCCACCATCCGTGAAACTAACAGCAGAGCTCATTAGCTCACACGGAGGATAGAGCCACACCCCAGATCCAGCAGCCATTAGGAAGTGGCCAGAGGACATAGAGACTCAGTTGTCCCAAGCATCTGCCAGCTGAAGATGCTGTGTAAGTGTCAAGTAAGGAATGGAGACGTATCCAAGTTGACATGGTCACCGAGGCTCAAGAAACAATGTGCTTCAGAAACTAGGAAACAGCCAGGTTCTGATGAGGACAGGAAGAGTTGGCTGAAACTTCAACCAACAAAGACAGTGAGCTTTGTGTTAACAGAGCATGAACTCTGGAGCTGGAACTCCTGGTTTTAATGTATCACTTACTTGACAGTGGCCTTGGAAAGCCAGTTAACCTCCCTACTCTGTAAAACAGGGCTTGCAATGACCTACCTCCTACAGAAACAGTGATAACGAGTTACTGTATACAACAGGGCCTGGTTTTTAGTAACCAGTCAACAGGCACTAATCGTTCTTCTTCTGATCATCACCCCAAATTGTTTCATCAAATAAGATAGACAATTAAAGGAGATTCTCAGAGGGCTCCCCTGATTACGCAGCGAACAAGACAGAGAGATAGTTCAGTGAAACAGGGGAATATGAAACTTAGAGTCAGACAGACCAGCACGAATCCTAACTTTACTCTTCACTAGAATTAGCAGGTCTGAGCACTGGCAAATCACTCAGTTTTACCACCCAGCCTATGGGCGAGCTTCAACCCCTTCTATCTGCCTCCATTTATCCAGTCAACAAATTGAATTGAGCATCCACATGAGTCAGACACCATTCAATGCACCCAGAATAGAAAAAGAAAAAATGAAACAGAACTAAGTGTGGGCAAGAAAAATATAAAAGATTAAGAGCCTGGCCAGGTGTGGCCCACTGGTTGAGCATCAGCCTAGGACCCAGGAGACTGCGGTTCAATTCCAGGCCAGGGCACATGCCCCAGTTGAGGGCTCCATCCCCAGTGGGGGGCATGCAGGAGGCAGCCGATCAATGACTCTCTCATCACTGATGTTCCTATTTCTCTCTCTCCCTCTCCCTTCCTCTCTCTCTGAAATCAATAAAGATACATTTTTTAAAAAGCCATAAAATTCTAGAGATTCTATATTCATATGGGTTCTCCACTTTAAATAAACTGATGTTGGAAAGTGTTAACTCTGCAAAAATAAGGCCACTCTACACTTATCCTTAAGGAAAGGTCTTAGGCCTCAATCAAAAGACTGGCAAATGAATGTATATTTGTATGTTTTAAGTTAAAATTAAAGTACATATGTTTTTTAATGATTCCTGTTTTAACCAAATTTCTCAATTAAGCAACTAACGATCCTAATCATCTCTGACTATATCCAACTATCTTCACCTGGTATCAACAGACGCCTGAAATTCAACATGTCCAAAACTGAATTTATTTTCCCCTCCAAATCTGTTCTGCTCATCTGCTACCTAAGCTAGTAACCTGGGAATCATCCTTGATTCCTCCCTATCCATCAACAACGTATTATCACCAAGTCTTGGTAATGTTTCCTTCAGATACTTTTAACATCCATTTCTTCTTTTCCTTATCCTTATTACCAAGGTTCTAGTTCTGCGAATTGGCGTCGCTTAATGGAAAGAATTCAAGCTTGGAATTCATTAACACCTATGTTTCAAATATGCTACTGCCATTTACTAGCTGTACGGACAAAACCCGTGAGAGGCATTTCCCAAAGGATACAAAGTATGCCAAGTGCTCACACAGAGCGTGTACTGAATGGTAGCTATAACTAGAGCCTGGCAGTCTGGATTACTTGCTCTCTCCACCTCCTACTTGCACCAGTTACTATCCGAAAACACACACCTGCAAGTGAGGCCCTTAGGGCAGGCTGTCACCGGATACACAAGGGCCGAACCCCGATTCCTCCGCGTGGCTAACGGGCCCTACAGCATCGACTAGGACTCGGCACCGCCCCTCCCTCCATACACACACACGCACACCCCTAACTGAAGGCAGCGACCATCGGCGAATCCCTGGGTCACCAAGAAACACAGCGGTGCGCCTGCTTCAACCGTCCTTGCTTCCCGTCTGGCGGCCAAGGGCTCAGGTGCAGTCAGAGAACAGATTCATCCGGACGGGCAGTGTCTACCCCGACCCCAGCCAGACACGAGCCGGCTGCCCACCCAGATCCCAAAGTCCGACAGGCCAAAGGAAAGCGTGAAGACCCTGCAGCTTGCGCGCGCCGGCGGGACAGTGTTACCTGCTGCAGGTACTGGTTGATAGTGATGTGCGCCATGGCGACGCCCACCGCCCGGACCGGACGGAGCTTGCGCGCAGGGCCGCGCGTCACTTCCGGCTCGCGGTCCGTCCCGGCCCCGCTCCCTGGATCCAACTTGCCCCGCAGGTTGGTTCCGGAGGAAGTGTTTGTGGGAGCGCGAGCCCGGGACAGGCATGGCGACGTGCCCGGGCTGAGGAAGGCTGGGGGTCTCTGTGCTGTGATTCCCCCAGCTCCCCGCGGCGAGGACGCCTGGTCCGTGACCCCTGGGTGCTCCGGCCAGCCCAGGGCGCGCCGGTGTCGCGGAGGTGACAGAGTTTTCGCTCCGCCGCCCTCTCGACTGTTTCAAGTTCCACACGGACCCCGGCTGACACGGACTGGCCGCGCTCGCGAGCCTAGGGTCGGGGGCCGGGTCGGGGCCGGGCCGGGGCGGGGTCGGAGCCAGATCCGAACCGGGGCCTGGCGGAGGCCGTGCGGCGGTTGAGCCAGGCCGGGGCGGCGCTGAACGAGGCCGGG